TGAGGTTCGACTTATCGTTCCACTGTATTACCAAAGTAATACAGTAATTATTAGTAATTATTTTCATTTACTACAGGAATTGCGTAAAGTAAATGGATTGCTTATACTTATTTATTTTCTTAATTTTTCTTTGTGATTAAGTCATCTTGGCTATAAATCACATCACCCCGCTTGCCTGTTCGGAACTTTTACAACACTACAGAGCAGGTAAAACCTGGATTGAATGCCTCGTGAACGTAGGTCGTTTCTAGTACAATTTTATGCCTCTACGAGCAGCTCTTTTCGCATTATATCTGAACAGAACTGTACATTAACAATTTTTTCTAAAACCTTTGACATTACAGTTAGGATACTTATTGGACGCAGGTCGGACGTGAGAATCGGATTCGCTGCTTTCAGTATGGGAAGCACAACCACCAGTTTCCATGCAGAAGGGAAAACGCCGTTTTTAATACAAAAGATAATAATATGAGTGATACAAGGCGATAAAAATGGTACAACTTAATAGATATTTCATCAGATCCAATTGCATTAGATCTTATTGACTCCAGAGCTCTGAAAATGCCACCTTGCGATACCGTTGAATCGGGTCAATAAAATAGTCATTAATGACAGAAGCATTCGCAAAATGGTTAGATAGTGCTCTATGTTTGGATTTAACTAAACTAGTCATTCTCAACGCAGACCAAAATCCAGCCACGCTGCCTATATCCAAAAACCTTTTTTTTTTTTATTTTATTTAAATGGGACGCAAACAGGGTTAACCCCCAGCGAAGCGTCCACTATACAAATTAATGACGGATTGTCGGACTTAATTGTAGATTCTTCTTATTAATTCTAATGACCCGAGACATTAACGCCCATGCCACGCAAAAACCGCCTAAACGCAGCCAGTGAGATGTTGAACATATCAATATTTCCACAGAGTCAAATGAATGCATTAATCTCTGAAGAGGTGAATTGAAGTAGGCATTTGTATTCGAACGATCAACACTAAACATCGGACCACCCCTAGTCCGATAGGGAGGAACGTAAAAACGTAACCCTCCAACCAATTCAGGCGAATTAATGAGGCCACTGCAAAGTTTAAAAATAATCAGTAAATCGTAATACAGCCTCCTCTGTTGCAGTGTCTGAAAACCCAGCACCCTGCACCGCATAAAGTAATCGCAATAAGGTAATTTTGTTTTATAAGATAGGTACCGCAAAAAACGACGTTGAACTGATTCGATACCGTTAAT